ATACATATAAACATACAATTTTAACACTAGTGCCTAATGTTATGGCTCTGTATGTTGATAACTTTTTCCATCTAATTTTAACACACAAAAAAAAAGAAAAAAAAAGAAGAAGATATAACAACTTCTTTGAAAAAGATAAAAATGTTAGGACCCAATTGATATGAAAGGACAAAAAAAAAAGATTTAAGAGCCAATTCAAATGTGGAATCAAATACAAGAATAAAAACAACTATTCCTCCCAACTAACTCATGAGTAAGTTATTAGATTAGTAAAAACTTAAACATTACTCTTTTCCTACTTCGAAAGAGGGCTAACATTTGACTAATCCGAGATTAAAAGTTGAAAGTATAAACAAAGAAGAAAAACAAATCAACTTTCCCTTGATTTCAACACAAATACAAAATTGTCAAAATACCTTTGGGCATTGGTTGATTATGTAAATGTGTTGGTGTGGGACTGGGGGGGAGATAACCCAAAACAAAGTTTACGTGGAGGATGATCAACGGCCCCGCAAATGACATACCCGTGATTTGGGTCTGAGCTAGCGGACAGTAGAAGCTCCCAAGCCAAAAAAAAAAAACAACACCAAAAGAGAAGGCAGGTCAAAAAGTGAGCCAAACAAAACCCTCCTACGGTTTCTTTGACCCATGTTCTTCTAGGATTATGTGTCCTTTCTTTTCTTTTTTTCTTTTTTTTTTTTAAATACACGACTCCCCATAACCTCATTGTTAAATTAACCCTAAATTGCACTAAAATTACAAAACTACCATTTCATCCATAGACTGAAATTTTAGCGACATTCTTTAAAAAATAATAATAGCAATTGAGGGACACTTTTTTTTTATAATTTTTTCATATAATTTTATATTCATAATAAATCATTTTTATTTTATTAAAATTTGTGATATTATATATATTTATTAATTATATAAAAAAATATACAAAAAGATTACTTCGTATCATTACCTAGTTGACTTGTAAGAATAAAATACAAAAAAATTTATAAAATTATTTTTAAGATTTACAGTAGATGACTCATGCCTATTGA